TATTCCACTCCTGCAGTGCTTTGATGATTTCATCTCCCCACATCTTCACACTCTTGTGGGTTTGTTTTGGAGAAAAACCATTAACCAGCCCCAGTGAAAATCAGAGGCAATAACAAAGCATCAAGCAACAAGTGTATCAGAGCTGAGGAGGGAGAGAAACTGCAAGAAGCAATTGTGCTTTCTATTTCTTTAAAAGCAAATGTCAGGTCAGCAAGGCTTTTCTAATGGTTCCTAATCAAGCAGAAATCCTGCAGCCACTTTGGATCAGCAAAAGAAGCCAAGATGGGAGAGTTTGTGTCAGTTGGGTTTGTGTTAATGTCCTTTGTAAGAAGTGCAAGATTTCTTTTGTTTCCTTGGACATCAAGAAGCTTTCACAGCGTTTATGCAAGCAGCAGATACATGAGGCATTTAATCCTTTATTTTATCTTATTTCTGCCATTGTAAACAGAAATTTTACAGGAAGATGCAAGAATGCACATTAGGCAATTACAGAGCAGCTGGCCTGAGGAGCAAAAACTGATCCAGAAGGATCTAGAAATAAGCCTGCAGACCTTCTGGAAAAGGCTGCACCTTTGCTGAAATGGTTTTATTTGGACACCAAGTTGCTGCACTAAAATTCAGAACTAAAATAAAAGAGGGGGGGAAGTTGCCATCTCAGCCAGCTAAGACTGTACTAATACTCTGAATGTCTAAAAATTTAAGATTTACTCTAAAATCTGCTGTTTATGTAACTATGGATATATTAATTAATCACAGATTTTCCTCTCAAAATCCTATTAATAAACTGGCCTCCCTAACACTGGAGTTAGATCACATTGCCTGTAAAAAAACAACCACCCTGTGTCAATTTTACACAGACTCTCACCATTACTTAATGTCCTTTCACTTGAATAAACAGAGGAATGAGTTTTACTTACACATTCTGCAGATTTCATTTCATCCCACCCTCAGATATCCCATTTCTAAAAGAACAGCAGTGGATTTTACAACATTAATACTGCAGAGAACCCAGTATCCAGAGAAAGGGGATTAGATACTTAACTAATTAATTTGCTAAAATACTGCCTAAATTAAGAAATGCAATGATAGAGTTACCACCTACAACTTTTGGGGTTGTAGTAGAATTTATAGCAGCCAGGGCTACCTTCTAGGGAGTTGAATTAAAATATCCATAGTTACATAAACAGTAGATTTTAGAGTAAATCCTAAATTTTAAGATGTTCAGAGTATAATCCAGTCTCAGCTGGCTGAGATGGCAACTTCCCCTCCTCTTTTATATCTTTTAACAGTTCAGAATTCTACTATAGCACCTTCCTTGAATTTCTATAAACTCACCCATTTTGAACAGCCCTTTCACACTCTGGATCTCTAATGCTCTCATGTTATTGAAATGCCAGAACGAGTCACCAAGAGGGCTCCAATCCAACAGGCAACAATTGCTGGAAATTCTTCTCATTTCCAAGCCCTCTCCTACACCCCTTCAAGACAGAACTGAGGGAAGTCTCTCCTGCTCTCCCCAACCTTTCCTGGCTGAAACCTGTTCCAATTTCACCCTGTAAATACCTGATATGACCAGATGAACTGGGAGGGGCCAGCAAGCCCTTCATGGTTTCAGGGGGGTGGAGGTAAACAGAAAAACAGTATATAAGATGCTTAGAGACAGACTTCCAAAGTGCATAGACTCTGACAGGAGGTGTCTGAAAAAAAAAAAAGGAGCCACTTCCTCAGGCTCCACCTTCAGAGCCTCACTTCATTGGAAGCAAGGAAGGTACCAGGCTGCTGCAGGAAATTTTACACCTACCCCAGCTGCATTCAGCCTCCTGCAGTCAGCTGGAAGGTTTCTGTCGCTGTAAGCAAAAATGCCAGCAAGACCCAGGGCTCAGCTGGCGTGGCTCTGCATTGTCACTGTGTCTGTGGTGATTTCCCCAGCCCTGCTGCACAAACCTCCCAAGAGGAGGATGAGCAATGGGAATGCACAGCTGAAGATGCCAGGCTGCTGCGAGGAGATCAAGGAGCTCAAGCTGCAGGTAGCCAACCTGAGCAGGATGCTGCAGGAGCTGAGCAAGAAGCAGGAAGGGGACTGGGTGAACGTGGTGATGCAGGTGATGGAGCTGGAAGGCAGCACCAAGCAGATGGAGTCGCGCCTGGTCGACGCCGAGAGCAAATACTCCCAAATGAACAACCAGATTGACATCATGCAGCTGCAGGCAGCTCAGATGGTCACACAAACATCAGCTGGTAAGGAGGGAGCCACCAAGCTCCCACAGACACCTCTCACTGCACACTGAATGCCTGCTTCCTAGGGCTGGCATGTCCTGCTAACACAGCAAGTGTGCACGCTGAAAAATGCTGCTCAGGCAGTGACTCTGAGCAAAGCAGCTTGAATTTCTTCATCTGTATTTTTATGTCTATGTCTGTGTATAAGCAGTGCAGAAACTGAACAGATATTGCATTTCTACAGTGAGGAATTCAGTCTATATTCATTTTCTGTTATATATTTCATTTTCTGAGCACTACACTAGCAATCCTAAAAGAAGGGGAGCTGGCTTGGGAAGGGAATGGCTCTGGCAGTGAAAACCTCTGAGCTCACAGCACTGACAGGGGACTAGAAATTGTTAAAACAATTAGAAATGCTCTCCAGGAATTACCAAATATTTGTATCTTTAGTATCTTTATGACTATCTCTGAACCAGAGCAAAAAAAAAAAAGAATGATCCATTATTTTTGAATGATAATTCTTAAAAATTCAAGGCTGAATTCTTAAAAATTTAATCTACAAGGCTGTAGATTGAACACAAACTGTGATATAGAATAAAACTGTGATTTATACCTAGCCAGACCACAGTTAAATTCTTCAAAATTCCCTTCCCTGAGGGAAAATGTCACTGCACACAGAGATTGCACAGGCCTGTACCAAATGTGGAATGCAGGTGCATTTTTAGGTCAGCTACCTGTAAAGGCACTTCTAGAAAAAAGCATCCTCTTTGCTGACTTTTCTCTTCAAATGAAATTCACTGCTAAGAGCTTAAATTGTCTCAGTCTCAACTGGGTTTGTCAACAGACTTCATTTTTTTAGCATTAAGGAAGAACTTCTAAATCTATTTACTTAATTCTTCCTCTAAAAGGAAGGAAATTCTTCCTCTAACCACCTGGTTAGTTTTGACACATTATTATTTAGGCCTTTAAAAAAAGTTATGCCATAACAAGGCTCTATAAAGCTGAAGAAAAAACAGTTAAACACAGCAGAAACTGGCCCAGAAAGTATTTAAGACAGATATTTCTCATCTCACCAGGTAAGAGACATTTTTGAAAGCATCCTCTTTGCTGACTTTTCTCTTCAAATGAAATTCACTGCAAAGAGCTTAAATTGTCCCAGTCTCAACTGGGTTTGCCAACAGACTTCATTTGGATTTTTTTTTTAACATTAAGGAAGAACTTCTAAATCTATTTACTTAATTCTTCCTATAAAATAGCTCCACCTGGTTAGTTCTGATGTGTCAGAACTAACATTTATTTACAGTAGGCCTTTAAAAAGAGTTACACCATAACAAGGCTCTTGAAAGCTGAAGAAAAACCAGTTAAACACAGCAGAAAGTGGCCCAGAAGGAATTTAAGACAGATGTTTCTCACCTCACCAGGTAAGAGACATTTCTGAAAGCTGTCAGACATTATAAAGCCTTGCTTCAGCTCATTTATCCCCCTCAGAAGAGCTCTGCATTTTACCATCTCCTGCACCAGGAGGAAAAGGCTTTCACAGCCTGAGTGCAGTTAAAAATCACTTTCTCTGTCACAGATGCCAGTGCAGAAAGGGCTGAACAAATAAATATTCCTCATCCTCAAACCTGGCCAACCTCACAACTCAAAACAGCAAAAACTCAAAACTCCTCACAGCAGGCTTGGCCATTTATTGGATCAATCTTTATCACTGACTAAGGAGTTAGCAAATATACTTTCCAGCACAGACACACAGTGGCAATAAGAAAGCAGAGATGTCTTTTTGCACAGCAGAGGTTAAAAAAAAATTAAAAGAAATAAATTAATAAAAATCATAAAATCCCAGTATTTCAACACCTTTGCCAATAACGAAGCCATTCCAGGAAAACATTAAACTTTGGAAAGCCTTCTTCATTACTCCTTGTACTACAAACTAAAATTTGCAGAAAGCACCTTCACAGAAGAGGAATTCCTGCTGCTCATATTCTCATTTTCTGGTTCTGATTCAAGTAGATGCTGTTTATGACTGCTCATCACTTTACCAGAGGAACTACAGAATTTCTGGTGTTTACAAGTTACCTCCTGATGAATTTTTGGGAATTCCAGATCTGGAGGTAAGGCAATATTCAGTACACAACGTACATTACACGTCTTTTAAAATATAATCAAGAAATTATTGACTTCAATAATTTCATTTCAGAGATGAAAAAAGCACACACTAAATTTTGGTACCCTGCACTTGCCATCAGCATCTTTATGTAAGCAAACTTAAAATGATGGGAGGAGTGTATTTATATTTAAGAGAGAAAATAGAAAAAGGCTTTATCTAATAATTTTTTTGCCATAGAAGTTTCTTCAGGTTGTGAAATCTGTAACAATGCCTTGTGTTAAGAGAGCTGAACCTTCCTAAGGATACTGACAAGTGCCCACTGCCTTTTTTTCCTGTTCCAGGTGTTCTGTGACATGGAGACAGATGGAGGAGGCTGGACTGTCATCCAAAGGCGCAAAGTTGGTTTGACATCGTTCAACAGGGACTGGAAACAGTACAAGGAAGGATTTGGCAATATTAGGGGAGATTTTTGGCTGGGAAATGAAAATATCTACAGACTTTCAAGACGCCCCACTGTCCTGCGAGTAGAGCTGGAGGTAATGAATGAACTCTTAATTTCAAAAGGCTTTTTTATTCCCCAGCACCAGATACCATCTCCTGTCTTTTTAGGATGCCCAAAGAATTTGCATGCTTTAATTACAGGCAAGAGTTTGCATTGTGTTACCCTCAATTTCCTCAGTCTGCTCAAGGCTTGGATTTGATTTAGACTGGTTTATAGCTTCATTTTATATACTTTATAGTACTTTATATACTAGTTCATAGTACAATACCTTTGAGGGATGGGATCTGTGTAAACTGAAAGGCTTAACTGTTGAGTTTGTGAGGTCCCCAGGACGAGGAGGTGAGAGATGAGAAATCTGACTCCATGTTCTCAGAAGGCTGATTAT